TGGCTCCTGTCCCCCCCGGGATGGCTCCTGTCCCCTCAGGGTGGCTCCTGTCCCCTCGGGGTGGCTCCTGTCCCCCCTGGGATGGCTCCTGTCCCCCAGGAGTGGCTCCTGTCCCCTCGGGGTGGCTCCTGTCCCCCAGGATGGCTCCTGTCCCCTCGGGGTGGCTCCTGTTCCCCCTGGGATGGCTCCTGTCCCCTCAGGGTGGCTCCTGTCCCCCAGGAGTGGCTCCTGTCCCCTCGGGGTGGCTCCTGTCCCCTCTAGGAGTGGCTCCTGTCCCCCAGGAGTGGCTCCTGTCCCCTCTAGGAGTGGCTCCTGTCCCCTCAGGGTGGCTCCTGTCCCCATGCCACCCCCCAGGCCCCCCTGTCCCACCCCAACACCGCTCCGGTGCCACCCCCACTTCCCTCTTCCCTTTTCCCGCAGGATTTGGGGGGGTTTTGGGGGATTCTGGGGGGTCCCCCGGGTTCGGGGACAGCCACGGGGACCTTGGGGACAGCGCGGGCACCGCGCCGGAAGCGGGGGAGGGGTTTGGGGCCCCTNAGGATGGGGTCAGGACCCCGGGATTGGGGTCAGGACCCCCAGGATGGGGTCAGGACAGGGGTCAGGACCCCTCATGTGCCACGGCCATTCCCTGGGAATGTCCCATCCACTGGGATTTGGGATGGGACCCTCTGGAATGGCTCCTGTCCCCTCTAGGAGTGGCTCCTGTCCCCTCGGGGTGGCTCCTGTCCCCCCTGGGATGGCTCCTGTCCCCTCGGGGTGGCTCCTGTCCCCCCCAGGATGGCTCCTGTCCCCTCGGGGTGGCTCCTGTCCCCCCCAGGATGGCTCCTGTCCCCCAGGAGTGGCTCCTGTCCCCCCAGGATGGCTCCTGTCCCCTCGGGGTGGCTCCTGTCCCCCCAGGATGGCTCCTGTCCCCTCAGGGTGGCTCCTGTCCCCCCAGGAGTGGCTCCTGTCCCCTCAGGGTGGCTCCTGTCCCCCCAGGATGGCTCCTGTCCCCTCGGGGTGGCTCCTGTCCCCCCTGGGATGGCTCCTGTCCCCTCAGGGTGGCTCCTGTCCCCCCAGGAGTGGCTCCTGTCCCCTCGGGGTGGCTCCTGTCCCCTCAGGGTGGCTCCTGTCCCCCCAGGAGTGGCTCCTGTCCCCTCGGGGTGGCTCCTGTCCCCCCAGGAGTGGCTCCTGTCCCCCCCAGGATGGCTCCTGTCCCCCAGGATGGCTCCTATCCCCTCTAGGAGTGGCTCCTGTCCCCTCGGGGTGGCTCCTGTCCCCCCCAGGATGGCTCCTGTCCCCCAGGATGGCTCCTATCCCCTCTAGGAGTGGCTCCTGTCCCCTCTAGGAGTGGCTCCTGTCCCCCCAGGATGGCTCCTGTCCCCTCTAGGAGTGGCTCCTGTCCCCTCGGGGTGGCTCCTGTCCCCATGCCACCCCCCAGGCCCCCCTGTCCCACCCCAGCACCGCTCCGGTGCCTCCCCCACTTCCCTCTTCCCTTTTCCCGCAGGATTTGGGGGGGTTTTGGGAAATTCTGGGGGGTCCCCCGGGTTCGGGGACAGCCACGGGGACCTTGGGGACAGCGCGGGCACCGCGCCGGAAGCGGGGGAGGGGTTTGGGGCCCCTTCCTGCCCGGGCTGGGGGCACAGGAGGGGGTTTGGGGGGCACAGGGACAATTCCCACCGGGGTCACCCCGAAATCTGACACCCCTCCCACCCCAAAAATCCCTGGCGGGGACCCGGCCGGGCCACGTGGGCACCCCAAAACTGGGGGAAGGGAGGGTCGGGGGTCCTGGGCTGGAGGGGGGTCCCCAAAATATGGGGGGGAGTCACTGCAGAGGGAGGGCAGGGTACTTTTGGGGGGATCAGGGTAATTTTGAGGGGTCCAGGGGCATCAGGGCAGTTCTGTGAGGGGGGTTCAGGGTAATTTTGGGGGGATTCAGGGCACTTTTGGTGGTTCTGGGGGTGTCAGGGCAGTCCTGAGGGAGTCAGGGTAATTTTGGGGGGTTCTGTCAGTGCAGGGTGATGCTGGGGCAGGGGGCACAGCCCAGTCCTGGGGGGNATCAGGGCAGTTCTGTGAGGGGGGTTCAGGGTAATTTTGGGGGGATTCAGGGCACTTTTGGTGGTTCTGGGGGTGTCAGGGCAGTCCTGAGGGAGTCAGGGTAATTTTGGGGGGTTCTGTCAGTGCAGGGTGATGCTGGGGCAGGGGGCACAGCCCAGTCCTGGGGGGATCAGTGCTTTTTGGGGGGGTTCAGTGACACTGAGGGGGTGTCAGTGACATGAAGAGGTGTCACTGCCAGGGCTGGTGGCCCTCAGCCCTCCCTGGAGACCCTCAGCCCATCCTGGTGACCCTCAGCCCTCCCTGGTGGCCCTCAGCCCATCCTGGTGGCCCTCAGCCCATCCTGGTGACCCTCAGCCCATCCTGGTGACCCTCAGCCCATCCTGGTGACCCTCAGCCCATCCTGGAGACCCTCAGCTCATCCTGGTGACCCTCAGCCCATCCTGGTGGCCCTCAGCTCATCCTGGAGACCCCCAGCTCATCCTGGTGACCCTCAGCCCATCCTGGTGACCCTCAGCTCATCCTGGTGACCCTCAGCCCATCCTGGTGGCCCTCAGCTCATCCTGGTGACCCTCAGCCCATCCTGGTGGCCCTCAGCCCTCCCTGGTGACCCTCAGCTCATCCTGGAGACCCTCAGCCCATCCTGGAGACCCTCAGCCCATCCTGGTGGCCCTCAGCCCATCCTGGTGGCCCTCAGCCCATACTGGGCAGGCTCTGGGCGCACCCTGAAAGGCTCTGAGGGGCTGTGAGTTCTAAAGGCTCTGAGAGGTTCCAAGGTCTGTGAGGGGCTCTAAAGGCTCTGAGGGGCTCTAAGGGCTGTGAAGGCTCAGAGAGCAGTGAAGGCTGTGAGGAGCTCTAAGGGCTCTGAGGGGCTGTGAGGGTCTCTGAGAGGTTTTGAGGTCTGCGAGGGGCTCCGAGGTCTGTGAGGGGCTGTGAGGGCTCTGAAGGCTGTGAGGGGCACTAAGGGCTCTAAGGTCTGTGAGGGGCTCTAAGATCTCTGAGGTCTGTGAGGGGCTCTGAGAGGTTGTGAGGTCTGCGAGGGGCACCAAGGGGCTGTGAGGGGCTCTAAGGTCTGTGAGGGGCTCTGAGAGTCTCTGAAGGCTGTGAAGGGCTCTGAGAGTTGTGAAGGGCTCTGAGGGCTCTGAGAGTCTCTGAGGGTCTCTGAGGGCTCTGAAGGCTGTGAGGGGCTCTGAGATCTGTGAGGGACTGTGAGGGCTCCGAGAGCTGTGAAGGCTGTGAGAGGCTGTGAGGGTCTCTGAGGGTCTCTGAGGTCTCTAAGGGCTCTGAGGGCTCTGAGACCTGTGAAGAGCTCTGAGGGTCTCTGAGGGCTCTGAGAGCTGTGA